CTTTGCTGTCCCCCCGTAGCGAGGGTGACTTGAGGTTTCTAATGGTTTAAGGTGGCTCAATAGGGTTTTTTGGCCGGGCGAAGAATGGGTACGAAAATGGCGCGAGCTTTTAAATGGTATCAAATATGTAAAGAAACATGGCGGCTTCACGCGAGTGCACAATTTTTGTCACATAATCGCGAAGTTTAGTTGACGAGAGTGAAACGGCATCGATACTTTCCAGTAATGAGCACAATATTGACAGTGAAAGACCAGAAGTTTACACAACGCCTACACAACATCCGTAATGCGTCAGGTCGCTTTCGGAAAGTGGAAGCGATCGAAACCAGAAAAGAAACAAAAATAAAAAGGTTACACGGAGGGTTCAAAACGTGGAATGCCAAAAGGAAGCTCCAGTATGATAACATATCCAAGGAAAACGAACCCCCAGCAAAACGAATGACACGAGCACGTGAGGTCAGTACATTTTTCTTTATTCGGAAGTCTTAATTTTTGGTAAGATTTTCCTGTCAAGCTTGTCCTAATTATCGGCCTACCTGTTCTGTTGACTCCAACCCTGATTCCCATCAGCAGAATAAAGCTAAGAGGAAGGCGAACCTGCCACAAGGATCCAGACTGGTGGACTTAGAAACCCTTACAGATGGTCTGAAGGAATGTTTATTTTGTCATTACGGTAAATTCTCACTATTTTTAACTGCACTATAGCATATTTTACACCATTATCATATAAAACAACATAACAAATATTGTGGAGTCTTTTTTCCCTGTTAGTTTACAGTGTATTTTACAATATTTCTAGGCCCTTTGTCTCTTGGCAATGTTATTGAAGAACAGCACAGTGGCTTGGCAAGCACGTTTACTGTTATATGCAGCCAATGCAAAGCGGAAAACACCATTAAAACATCAAAAGAGCACAGATCTGGTGCACGCGGTCCACTGACCTTTGATGTAAACACGAGAGCTGCCCCTGGCTGTTTACACACAGGAGTGGGCAACACCCATTTAAACAATTTACTTTCAATCCTCAATGTGCCTGCACTGAACTCATCAACTTTTAAAAATCGGGAAAGGGAAGCTGGAAAGGCAATAGACCTAGTAGCAAAAAATAGTTGCCAGCAATTCCTAACCCTTGAACGAGAGAAGGCAATTGAAAATGGTACCAAGCCTGACCAGAACAATCTAGTACCTATTGCCTGTTCTTAGGACATGGGGTGGCAGAAACGGGGGCGAGGTTTCAACTCTAAGACCGGACATGCTGCAGTCATGGGCCTTTCAACTGGTAAGGTCTTTGACTACATAACAAATAATAAAATGTGCCGCTCCTGTGATGAAGCTAAAAAGGCAGGAAAACAACCAAATGACCACGACTGTAGAAAACATCATTCAGGCTCTTCAAATTCAATGGAGCCTTTAGCTGCAGTTGAACTTTTCAATAAGGTAACTAAATCAAATGTCAAATTTTCAATTTACACTGGGGATGATGATTCAATGACTGAATCTCACCTAAGGCAAAAGGTACCCTATGGTGTGGAAAAATGGAGTGATACAGTTCACAACATGAGCCAACGTGAGCATATACAACTTGAGCCAACATGAACCTATACAACTTGAGCCAACGAAGTAAGTTCCCCAACAGTTCAGTGTTGTCACAGAAAGTCCTAAAATACCTTGTCAAATCCTTTACATACTGTATTGCACAAAATAAGGGGGATACTACAAACATCAAATCTGCAATTCAAAGCATCGTGCCTCATGCATTTGGTGACCATACTGGTTGTAGAGAAAAATGGTGTCGATACAACTT